ATATATAAGCAGGATAAATGTGCTATGTGGTTAATGTTCCTGGGAGCATCCATCAACTGATGATGAACAGGAGTTGGTTGATACATACCTCTTTTATATGTGCCTTAGTTGGGACAGCTTTAAGGCATGTTCTGTATCATCATCTAGATGTCCCCAAAAGTCTGAGCCCCTACTTCCCACAGTGGTAATCTATTCATGAATGTATTGGTTTTCTTCTCTTCTGTGTCTCACTTCACTATTCCCCTAATTCTTGGGTTCAACTTCCAAATACATTTCTTGCACTCGAATCTTCATCCCTGGGCCTGTTTCTTGGGGAATGTAAAATAAGACAAAGACATCTTATAATCTTATCCCACCTACTTTTAGAGCCTCAATTCCTGTTTGTCTTCATTAAGCACCCTAAACTTAGTCTCATTGACCCAATCTCCAATGCCCAAACATGTCACATTCTGATGTGGCTTTCTAAAGCCACAAAATACAAGATGTTTTGAATCTTTCTAAGAGTTTATGCCTCTGTTAGAATACCTTTCCATGACTGTGTGCGTGGCTATACTGCTTTTAAGATTTGGGTCAAATGTAATTCTGTCTAGAGTGACTCTTAGCCTTCCTAGCCTAGGTCAGATGCCCTCTCCTCCATGCTCCCAAACATGGTCCATATATCTCTGTTGTGATGGACTGTTTTCCAAAATGGTCGAAATAACCCTCACAACCTTTGCAACATCACTTTGCAGATCCTCCCATTAAGAAGCAGTCTGTTTCCCCTACCCTTGCATCTGGGCTGGCCTTGCGACTGGCATTGATGACAAAATGTGTCAAAAGTGATCCTAAGCCTTAGGAGGACTTGCAGTTTCCATTTTCACTCTCTTGGAAGACAACCTTCATGTAAAGAAACTTAGGTTACCCTGCACATAATGAGATACCACACGGAGAGGGTGTTCTTGTAAAAGAGACACAGGGTGCACTGGACAACAGCCAGCGCCAAGGTCTCAGACACAGGAGTGGGTCCTTCTTGGATACACATCAAACACCCCTTGGAGCAGAGACAAGCCCTGCCCCAATTCCTGGCCCACAGAAATCATGAACAATACAGCGGTTGTTTTAAGCTATTGGGTCTTGTGGGGGTTGTTATACAACAATAGATAACTGCAACATCTATTATAGAACTTCCCATTAAATGCTGTAATTACTTGTTTACTTGTCTTTCACACTTGTGAGCTATGAATAAATGGGGACAGAACATTTTCATCTTAATAGCTGCTGCTCCTGACACACAGGAAGGCTCTACAATGACAATTCCATAAAAAATGAGGGCTCATCAGCGAGATCACAGAGAAAACTTGTAACTTTTGGGATTTTTTTTGAGGAAATGAGAACCAAAAAAACCCAAAAGGTTTTAAAGGACGATTGTGGAAGACTAGTGTGAGATGAAAACTCAGGGTAATTGAAAAGGCTGTCCAAAGCTTTTAGTTCATGAATTCTCCTAATAATTGGTGAGATTCTTCACCTCTATTTCAATCAGTGTGCAGCCTAGGTGAGCCCCACAGACACTAGTATTTACAGGGGCTGGTCAGGCCATTACCACTGTGTGCAAGTGAACTATCAGTCATGGCTCTTGCTCTGCAGAAGAAGTTTATGCAGATGTACCAAGACACTGTGGCCCTCAAGAGGATATGGAAGGGTGTGGAGAACAGGAAGTTCAGCTTCAGTGGTTATAAGCTTTCTCCTAATAGGTACATTACAAACTTTTTAATACATCTGTATATGTTCCAAGGATAACAGATTCTTATTACATATTGTTGCAAGAATGAATGGACAATAGAATGAATAGACTGGGATACTTTGTTATGTTACAACATTCAGGGTCAAGCACTCACTGAATGAGGATAATTCTAAACATTCTAGGACATTTTTGTTTGCTGGGAAAAGACATGATTAGGGAAAATTTCAACAGTTTTCTTTCATCTTATAAGATCAATTTAAGAGAAGAAAATCCAGACTCCACCCCACGAAAAGATACCTCTGGGGAAAAAGGGAGTATGAAGAGCACTGAAGACTCAATGACCATCCTCCTAGCTTCAGGCTTTCCTCATAAAATTTATGGCCAGGTCCAAAATACTGAGTGTGGGTGAAATAGCAATTATATCAATAATAATTCCAAATTAATTATATGGGGATTGAATTAATGAATAGGAAATTATAGGAAATATCTAGTTTGGATGAAGAAATTCAGGGCCCTTCTGTCTGTTATGTGGATATGCTCATGAGGAGGCAGAATGAATCCTCTAGGACAACAGCTCCATCCGTCAGAAGTAAGAGATGGGATGACATATTCAAAGTGAACAAAGAAATGGGCTTTATCAGTGATCAAAAACAATTATCAGTGCATCCTCAGATTCTTTGAGGTTAAAGAGAAAAGGAAAAATGTTGAGTAACACAATCAAGTTCCAGAGAATGTCCAGGACAGAACTCTAGAAGGCTTCCAGAATGGAAAGAATCTGGTTCCTTTGCTGATCTTGAGGTTGGTGAAGTGAGCCTGGACTCCAGTGCAAGGGTGTGGAAGCAAGGCTATATTGGAACGAAACCAGGAGGGTTCCTGAGAGGCTGCCTAACAGTGCTTTTCAAATTGTTTTATTTCAGAGAACCTTATGTTAACAGAATCTTGCAGGATCCCCTAATATATTCTAGACACAAATGTATTGATTGCCATGTGGTTGCAAAAAAGCAAGAAGAGGCCTGGCCAGGCATGGCTCAGCAGTTGAGCATCGACCTAGGATCCAGGAGATCACTGTTCGATTCCCTGTCAGTGCACATGCCCTGGTTGCGGGCTTGATCCCCGGTCGGGGATGTGTAGGAGGCAGCCGATCTCATTATTGATGTTTCTATCTCTCTCTCTCCCTCTCCCTTCCTCTCTCTGAAATCATTAAAAATATATTTTTTAAAAAAAAAGCAAGAAGAAAAGAGTGAGGGGATCTTCAAAGGAGCTGGTAGGACCTCAGTTGTTGCCTCTAAGACACTAGGCCTGGCAGGGTGTCCTTGGAGAACTACTAGGCCCAGGATATCTGTAAGGCTTTACAGATTGCTTGTCAGCTATCAAAGTTTTTGGTCAAGACTCATTGTTAAAGGGCCCTAAGGCAGAAAGGACTCAAACTAGTAACTGAGGGTCATGATAGTGTAAACATCTTTATCCACATCATGGACAGGAAAGCAGGCCCTTGTCCGCCCTCCCACACTAAGACCTCAGTGGGGTTCATTCTTTCTGGAAAATCTTTTTAAAGCAACAATCAAGGCTCTCAGTGGTTGCCCATTCCAACTTAGTACCACCTACATTAAGAACCTGAGCTAGAAGATTCTCAATGGCCCTTCAGAAGGAGAGGTAGGAAAAGATAACAGCAGCCCTGATGTTTCCTGCTGATCTAAGGGAAGCCTCAAAGTCCAAGGCTATGTACAGTCTTGTAGGAACACTGAGTAGCAAATCTTTAGGATACTGGCTTTTGTCTTTACTTAGGAATGGTTGTAACCATCCAGCTAAGTTTCTAACTTGAGACCGTAGAAGGTGATTATAAAACCAAGATAAGTAAAGAGAGAGAATGGCTTTGAGGGCAACTCTGCCCAAATGAGAGCCCATGGGGTCAGGATGGTTCAGAAGGTGAGTAGGCAAGTGTCCAGCGTCACAGGTATTTCAGGGACAAGGAGCATCTGGGGTGATAAGAGTCTGGATTGACGCAGTGACAGATAGTAATTATTATGATTGTCCTCATACTAATGGTGGGAATTGACTATTTTCTCATTACATTACACTAAGTTTCGGATACTCAGCTGGGAGAGGCCAGGCCTGAGATTTTGGGGTGATGCCTTTTGTTAAGAGAGGACCACGGCATATTCACATACAGCCATGCTCCAGAGTCCCCCCTTTCCCACCTTCCCTTTACCTCTTCCAACTGGAAGCAAAGACCTAATGTACTGAGTGGTGGACCTGCTCCCAGCGAGCCCAACCTGTCCTGTGATCTTACAACAGTCCGACCTTTCCCCTGGGTGGATGCTGGTTGTCCGGGGATGGATGAGTGATGAAGGACTATACAGGTTCCCTGCCCAGCTGCTCATTTCCCAACAGTGAAGTTACCTGTTTGGCTGTGCTAACTCGCTTCTGGAGCAGGTGAGCTCACTCCTGCTACGCAGAGCAGGGAGCCAGGGCAACATGTGGGAAGTGGGGACCTGCCTTCTTACAAGCACCTCGCGGAGCCCAGCAGCTCACCTCTTGGCATAAGCTGACAGAATTTCTCAAGTGCCCCTTCCTCCTCCTCAGGATAGCTCTATCAAACACTCTCACAGCAGGAGCCAAAAGAAAAAAAAAAAGAATCAAATGGGAAAACAATTAAAAGTCTGTTTGGCTCCCGTGTGCAGCATGCAACAATAAGCCACACTTTCTGAAGTGTCTTCGGAAGGAATGCTGTGATGTCAAGTTTCAAAGAAAGACTCTGGCCCCAAATCAAACTGTAAGCTGTGACAATGCCCCACCTGACACTGTAACCAATTCCTCTTTCACCCAGAGAGGCGTTTCTGGTGCACAGGGGAAAATGCCATCCATTCCACAGAGTCTCAGCAGCATTCAGCTTGCTTCCACTCCCTCCTTGTCTTGGGAAGCATGGTGAATGCAGCCTGTCATGACTTCTTGATAGGCTGAAACTTAGCTGAAAAGTTTGAGCCTTCACAAGCCTGCCCCCGGAATGCTTCGGGGAAAATAAAAGCCTAGCAGGTAAGTTTGTGCTTTCAGGGTTTAAAAGGCTCTTGGGACTATGTATGCCCTCCCGCGTGTGGAGAAGAAATTCTCTCCTAACCCACACCGAAGCTGTTTGGCAGCCAAACATCTGAAATAAGCTGAAGTGAACCGTCAAAGCACAAAGCACTTCACAAGGACTTTCGGTTAGGACAGCTTCCAACAGCTTGGCAGAGAAATACTGAACCGTCTGGTCATCCAGACTCGGGGAGGGATCGCCTCTTACCTGGGCTTCCTTCACGCTGCCGTTCCCGGCGCAGTTCCCGTTCTGCGAGCCGGCCCCCTGCTTCCCCTGGCTGGGGAGACTCCCGTTGCAGGCGGCACCGCCTCCAGATTTGGCCATTTGTGTGAAATGATGGAACCCAGCAGGTCTGCGTCCGGTGCTTCTTGGCAAGCTTCAGTTTTGAAGTTGGTGAGGGGATGGCATAAAGCACTTGGGAGCTGAGCCTTTGGAGGAATCCTACCGATCAGGCTTTTCCAGAAGAAGAGCAGCAGTATCTTTGGGGCAGATCTTTGAAAGTACAAACAAAGGGTCACCTTTCCACTCCCCAACTCAGAATGCGGCTTCCGAGGCAGCAGACTAGCTCCTGAAACTACAGAGGAGCTTGCCCACGTTGGCTCCCCGTGGGGACTGAGGAAATCAGGAGACTGCAAAACCCAGTGGCGGACTGTGAGGGGGCGGGCTGGGAGGAGGAATCTTTTAAAGACACACACACACACACACACACACACGCACACACACACACACACACACACGCA